GTCTTTTCCAACTGAGCGATTCTGTGATTACAAACTAATCCTGAACTTCTAAGTGAACATCAGATTAATTTCCACATTTCCTCACACATTTCCACAGACAGATAATTACAAGATCAAACAAGTGACAAGGATGAAGGTCAGCAAGATGAGCAATATGGTTCACTCTGCAACCCATGAGCGTGCAGTCCTCCTGCTACTCCACTGAGCCCAGCAAGTGAGTTTTTCTCCCTATCTATGTACAAGAGAAGAAAGTTGTGCCAATAATGAACTACATTTTTAATATTATGAAAACCAGAGCATGCAAAAAATTAAAACCATTAAAAAAAAAATAAACCCACCAGATCTACGGTGAGTATGAAATAGTAGAAAGGACTATCCAAGGTCTGTGCTCATTTCTCTTCCAGTAATGAATTAACTCATTCTAAATGCCTGATTCCTTTGACTGCTCAGAAACCAGGATGCTATTATTATTATTACGCTTTTTAGTGAAAATGGATGGAAAGTATCCATTAAGCATTTTAGCCTACGCCTTGTCATCTGTTATTTTTTCTCCTGAAGTAGCAGATCTATACTTCCATTTGCTGCACTCTTGCTTTTTGTGTACTTAACACTTTTTCTTATTCCTTTTACAACCTTTACTAATCAGTATCTCATTTTGTGCCTGTGCCTCTTCTGATTTTGCCCTTTCATGTCTTCATATTCCCATCTTCTTACCCCCGTTTTTCTTTTAATCTATTTTCTGTGACTTCCTTTTCACTCACATGCCTTTTGAAAGCCCTTGGTGCAAGTACAATGTATTGATCTTTTACATCTTCATATTTTGGTTTTATCTAAGAGAGTAAGTATCTGCTGTTGTGCACCAAGTTTTTTGTTTTTCAGAAACTTTCTAAAGGCCTCATCTGGTTTCTTCCATAGCTTTTCTGATCCTGAACTTCAACTAAAGTCTACTTTTCCTTACTTTCCTGCACAGCTGCAGGGGCATTTGGAAAACGTTACTCATGACCCTGTACTGTGTTCATGGAAGGGCTGGTATCATTTGGAATATGCACAATTTAATCAGAATTGTAAGGGTTTTTTTTAACAGAAGTCTTGATAACAAGTTTAATTTTGACCAAAATCGCAAGGGGATGTATGACTACCAATCCTACTGGTGGATTAATGAACAGCTGTGGCTGAGATTAACAGGAATTACTCCAGTGGCTTTCCTTTCAGCCAGCTGGATTCTTACATAGTACACAGAAGCCCAATTCCAGCCCGTGGTAAAAACCTTCTGCATAGGTCCAAGAGTAGCTGGCCCGTTCCTGCATAAGCTATTTGTATACCATCAAAGGTGATTAAGTATGCAATTAAAACAGAAGTATTTCTCTGAAATAGCACAATATTTAGCTACATTAAGACCAAAAAAAAAAGAAAACCTCTAACTGTGCCACAGATTAAGCTTGGTGTTTGGGCCAGTATAGGCTTGTTATACAAACAAAGCATTGGAAAACTCATACCATGTAATAGAAGTCATAATAAGAGAGGTTTTGTGTCCCAGTTCACCAGTATTTCAGACTACAGAAGCATTCAAAGTATCACAGAAATTGAAAGGTATGAAATAAATGATACAACACCAAAAAAAAAAAGAGAGCAATTATATAAAATACTCAACAAGATTACTGCTGTGTCCTGCATGTTTCAGAAATGCGTTATTGCACTTCTCTTAAGAGTTATACCACGTTTCCAAGACTTAAATCTACACCAGGCCTTGAGTATCAATGTTATGCAACCTAACCTGAGTCTGAAGGGCCAAACACTGCACCATGTTTCTCTACTGGCCTTGTTCTACAATGAGGTAACTTGCAGAAGCTAAGTTGATCGGTACCAACAATCGTCTTCATTAAGTTAGTACTAAATATACAAATTATAAATTAATCTTGTCATTGCACTTTTTGTTTTTACTTAAAGGAAACTATATCAAAATGCTGGCAGTCAGAAGACTGCTGGCTTTTACATTTTTAGTTATATCATTTTTTGTTTCATTAAAAATCATGTTACTACTTGATTTTACTGAAAATATAAGGCTATTTCTACACTGTCTAGTATAGTGCTGTGTAGAGACACTGAGTAGGCTTAGGATTCACTCCAGAACAGGAAGCAAGACAGCTGCAGTAGTACTGCTAAAGACTAAGTTATTTAGCTCTGTGCCTAATTGCTCTAGGCACAGTCCTGTGCTATTCAACTGTACTGTTCTGGGGACTCAAGCTGCCATTTTTGCAAGATGTTGTGCTGTACTGTGCAGAATACCAGCTTGGTCTGACATAACAAAGGAATACCCATCTGGTGCCAGGTTGGATGACGCAAGTATATTACATAAAAATAGCTCTGAGTACATAATGTGTTACAAGGCACACAACTCACTTGAGCAATCCTGCACGGTGGAACACATAAAGCTCACGACCAAGATTGGAAGTACAGAAGGGGACAACTCGAACAAAACTCTGGATCAGGTGGAACTCTGGTACATGATGTGGTACAAGGATGACACAGAAGTCTCTGTCCTGAAAAAGATTTGCAGACAATAAAGGCTCTTGGTGATCTAAATGTAAGTGTTACACAAAAGTTTCTGACTGGAGGGAACAGAAAGAAAACAAACTGACTGCAGTACTTACAATGCACGTACACTCTAAGTGTTGCTCTACCTAGATGGCTTGATGCCAGGAGAAAGGAACTGATGACCTCAACATTAAGTTGGCTCACAGAAATGGGTCTTTTAGCTCCCATAGTAAAGACTTAGTAGTTAATATCCTGATATTCCCTAGAGGTCCTTTCTTTCCACCTCCCCTCTTCCTCAATAGAACAGCATATTTCAGCTGGAAGGGGCCTACAATGATCACAGAGTCTGATGTGCTGCTTAGGGACATGGTTTAGTGGTCAAGTTGGCAGTGCTAGGTCAATGGTTGGACTCTGATCTTAAAGGTCTTTTTCAAACTAAGTGATTCTAACTGCCCGGTAGGAACATTATCTCTTTTAGCCACACTTTTAGGGCTAACATTTTCCCTTAAAAGGTCCTTTTTTCTACCTTACTATTCTTCTGTAGGGACATTTTAGAACAATGTCTGTCTGTCTGGGATCTTTTGCACCTTTGCAGCCAAGTGAGACCACCAACTAGAGCAGTATATCCTAAAATGCTGACCAAACAGCCAGTGTGTGCCCACAGATTGACTTTGCACTGCAGGCACAGAAGACCTGATGAATGCAAGTTTCTATATGTGTAGCAGTGACCCACTTGTCCCAAATTTGGCACTGCTGGCATGCAAGCACTTCAGGGTGCACACACATAAAAGATGCAGTGACCCACTTGTCCCAAATCTGGCACTGCTGGCATGCAAGCACTTCAGGGTGCACACACATAAAAGATGCACCGTATGGGCAGTCAATGTAATTGCTCAGAGACCTGTGCTGTAAAGGCTGCAGAGGTGCAAAGGAATGCAGGAATCTTTGTTGAACACTTTCAGATGAAAGAGAGCATCCTCTGGAGATAAAACCACATACCACAAATAACTTTATAGTTTCAAACTGTTCAAGCACTCCCTTCCACCAGAGTCTCTCCTACCCCTTTTTATTGAATCCATGCTTTAAGATAATATCACTGCACACAGGGATGTTGAAGGACTCTGACAATTCAGGAAGACACTTCATGCAGCATGATACACGCTGAGATTCTCAAGTAGCACATATCTGGAAGATGTTTAATTGGTTTATTCTGGCTGATTATTCTACAGTATCTTTTCAGTAGAAAGATATTCTTTGAATCTTGTTCCTTTTCTTCTATTTAAGCACACTATGTGATTGATTTTTCTCACTATACCTGGTGACATTTTGTTTCAAGAAATGACAGGTACATTGGTGGATAAATTACTTAAAGAGATTTGAAGTGTTTCCTGTGTTCACTTTCTCCAGAATTTTCTTTAGTGAAAGCAGCACTGTTGAACATGCTGATATTTAGGGCCTAGTCTGTATCTCTGGTCACCAAGGCTTGTCTCTAAAGGTTACTACTAGGCAGTAATTTACAGTGTGAATTTACAATACACTGCAGTGTGCATTAGGAATGTCTCAGACAGTGGACTTTGTTGTCTCAGATAAAGACTTATCACACAGGGTTAATGTGAAATAGCTACTGCACTCTAAATTAACATCATTATTTGCTGCATAAAAACCTTCAGTGCTACTGTTTAGGCTATATGTAAATAGTATGAATTTCGTGAACACTGCTGTTTTCTAGGCTTTAACTCCATTTCCTTTAAGGTATTTTCCTTAATTTTATTTTTAATTTAGGTACAGTCTGGATCTATAGATGATTTAAAGGAGTTTGAAATATTTGCTTTCTAAATTTGCATCTCAGAAAAGTCCCTGTGGAACATAAATGAAGGACTTACCTATGCAATACCTAAAGCCCAGAAGCAGCCAAGGAGAGGAGTCAGACTCTTCTGGGTAACCAGTCACAGCATAATCCCGTGAGTCATCGACTTACTCAAGCGTCATATCTAAATATTCTGGCTGAGAACTGCACTACCATCCCATCACACAAACACATGCATACAAACTTTAAAACTTTAATTATACATACTGGAAAAAGCTTGAAAACATAAGGCAAAAAATCCAGCGATCTGCAACCAAGAGTAAACATTGTTAAATAAAGCACATATCAGATCGATCCTACACATTTCAATATTTACATCCTCATAAATGCAAGGAATATTTATTCACAGCACTAATCAGACAGTCCTGTTAGTTCATCATTAATGAACTGCAGATGTTGCATGCGGCACATCAGTCGTTGACTTTTAATGTTTAAAGCATCACTATTAACAAGAAACCCAAATGTTTTAAATAATATCAAAACATTAGGCTCTTCACCAAAAGGAAAAAAATATTACTCTCATATTGTTGTCTCCAACATTTCTCAGAATTCATTCATGGACTGTCAGAGCAGCATTAGCGTACCGCAAACATTAATGGAGGTTACAATCAGTTGTTGCTGTGTTCCACAGTATTTTCATTCAGTACCAAGAGTTCTGTCACTATCCACTTAGTAAACCTATCCAATGTACTTTATCAGACTAACAGGAACATCAATACTTTGAAATTGTTTCTGAACACTTTACTTCTTTCCACTTCTTACCTACTGGTTTAGAGTAATTCCACTCTCTTTTCCATGGTGACAGTGAAATGTGAAATCTGAGTTTAAAAAGACATGAGAAATCTAACAAATTCTTTCTGTTTCTCCTATATGTACAGATATCAAAGAGCTCTAAACCCATCAAATAGAGTTATGCTGAAGCTTTGTAACATATTTTTCCACTGTACAAAATGTGTCTTTTGGAGAAATTAAATAGGGATATACATTACTTAAAAATACTGGTAAAACATCTTCTCCATCCAGACCTGTAATTAAGTTCCCTTTAATTACTTCATTAATAATATTACTGAAAAGAGAAATAATTTCCAATTAAAATATCTATGATTGTATGAAAACTTTTTTAAAAGCTATAAATACAGATCTGGAATAGGGTACTATATATTCACCTATATAATACATAATTATGACTAATCAATAGACTAGCTAAACACGGGAAAGGAAAGTGCCATCGCAATGTAGTTTTCTATTCTGTGGCATCCAGCACCTTCCTGATAGCAAGGAACACAAGAATGGAAGGAGATTTTTCAGGGAGCTTAAAAAGTTATCAAATATCTGCAGATACAACAGCAATTCAGTTCTTTTGCATTTCATTGTCAATGCACAAACAAGCACATAACAGCTCTAGATTCAAGAGATGGAAACATTTAGCAATTTTGCTGGGTAACACAAATTCCCCAGCAGTAAACTTCCCTTGAGGGCCGAGATGCAATCATACCTATGCTGCAACCAAACTACTGTTTCCGGATCCACGCTGTGCAGGGTCAGCAGTAACTTCTTCAGGACAAGATGCTGAGATACAGTCAGGATTACCTCATGCCATCCTTCCAAACGTATTTGCTTTTCTAATGTTTCTTTTACAAACAGGTGGACCAAGCAAATGCACACGAAGGAAGCATACAAGCAAAGTATTTGAAAACACCATGATCTGCAGATTCCCCAGCTCTGAGGAGAGGATCTTGCATGAGTGTTAATCTTTGAATAAGTCTTCAGAAAGGAATGCTATCTTTTCCACAGATACCCATCTTGGAATCCAAACTGTCCCGGTGGTCTCCAGAGAAAAAAGAAAGAGACTGCAGTGTTCAACGATAAACACTGTGAACATATCTTGAACAGAAACAAAACTGGTGCATATGAAGGGTAGAATGCCAGAAGAGTGCAACAAAAAAAAGTGACAGATCCTTATCTAAAGCAGGATGCTATGAGCAGAGAACTCTACTAGTGTACAGAGAGGTTATTTCCTGACATAGTTACAGATAACTGCTTCGAATTGCTATTTCAGCATAATGAAGTCATTCTCGAGCAAGTCCTTCACCTCAGTATTATTTAAAAACAAAGTTATTTTCTTCTAGAATAATTATCTTGTTTTAATTTTGTTTTAGACCAGATTGTCCATAAATGAATTATTCTGGAATGGACTCTCTGCAGTGTAACTGTTCTATTGTATGTTGTTGATCAGTGTTTCTAAGTACATCACAGGCTTCTAGCACTGCCTTTCTCTCTCTAATGAATTCGAGCTATATTACTCAGTAAATATGTACCAAGAAGGCTATGTGTTTGCTTTGCTTTAGTAACTTAAGATATTTGCATTTGTAGCAGATTCAGAGTGTTTAATCCCTTTGGAAAGGTCCCCTCCTTCATCAAGAAACAGCTTAATAAATGGAATTAGTTTTCAAGGAGTTCTGAATTTTCTTCTGAGTTTTCAAGGAAGTTTATTGCTAAATTTCTTTTAAGCCAGGTAAGTTCAGATGTTGTCAGTCATGAACGACTATTACTACAAGTAGAAGGATGTTTCTTCAAATGGTACCACAGTTGTCAGACTTATCTACAAAGTCAGTGCTACTGATACGCTGTGTCTCTAGAAATTACATGTATTTTAAAGTGTGGAAGATCTTGGGTGTGCTCAGCCTCTTTCTGTCTCTTTTTCTAAGTATCTCCATGTTTTATTTTTCTTTCTAGGATCTATAAACAAAAGCAGGGTGCATTTACAATCAGAAAGGGACAAGTTCTTGGAGAAGCTTTTACTGATGTGGTTAAGTATAGGTTCTCTCTTGAAGGGTGCAGAGAAATTTGGGGGAAAAAAAATGCCAAAACCACATTTATAGATCTATTCTACTTGACAAGATCTAAGGGTTTAAGGTCAGCAGAAGCAATCATTTTAAGATTAAAAAGCCTTTGTCTTTCCTCTGCTGTAGTGGATTCTAGAAAACTGAATCCATTCTCTCAGTGATGGAAGAGTGAGTGTTTAGAAGTGAGAAAATATAACTGCAGAGTTAAAAACAGCTTCATTGCCCCATGAGCAGAGATGACCAGTAGCATAACGTCTAGCTCTTTTAGACTTAGTCAGCTTTGGAATGAACATTTCTTCAGAGGAAGAAGTGGCCTTCTTCCGCAATTTCAACCAGCGGTTTTCCAACAAAAAAAGTTTCTTAACTCTTTGTCCACACAGTCCTACCAGAGATAGGAAGCTGCAGCTGGAGGTTGAAAATTTCAGTAAGTTAGTAATGAAGTTAAAAGAGAAATTAAAAAAGAGGCCAGAAAAGAAAAATCCAACAGAACTACAGCCGGTGCTGTCACTTTCAGATTTGTCCTAAAAACATAATATTGAATGTTATGAAATTAGGAAAGCAGTAACTATTCATCCATACTTACCTAGCTTCATGGTCCTCATCAATACAAAACAGACGGATACAGAAAGCATTTGAAGTTCCTCTGTATACTGGACGAAAAGCATCTTCTTCCTCAGTCTTGAGGAGGGGTGTTGCTGAGGCTTTGAAATCTTTGCCTCTGGTAATGGCTCCATCTTTCTGCAATAATCATAGACAAATGATCACTTAAAACATTTCAGAAAATATTTAATGTTTTAATTAAAAGGCTTTGCATCATTCCTATCTTATAACATTCCAAGCAGACATACAAGGATGTATTTTTTTTACTTGTCACATTTTGACAAACACAGAAGTTCAAGGGGGTATTTTTAATACAACAGCTACCTGTTTCTGACACACTAGATAAAAGTAACCTTTAAAAATATATACATTCTTGCTGAAGGGCAATATATTAAAACACTACTGGTTACCATTAGAATCCCTTTGTGAGGCAATAAAATATCTTTCAGATATGTTTCTGAACAAGAATTTGTTTTCAGTATGAAAGTTACAGATACGTTAAAGAAAATGAGATCCATGAAGATAATATTGTGGAAATGGAAATGAACAGTAATGAGAAGAACTAGAGCAGCTTTGATACAGTACTGAGAGAGAGACTAGAGACAGATGCAATCACTTAAAGTTTCTTGGGATGAATTGTCTGCTGATTTATGCTGCACCAACACATTTCATATTAACACTCTTATCAGGTCAAGCTTCACTCAACAGAAGAGGCACAGGTAGAACATGTGCCCTTTAACTTCTACACATTACAGGGGAAAACTGAAGCCATGTTGCTGCTTTTCAGCTTTGGTAGCTTTCCGTCAGTAGCAGATTTTTAGCTGAGTAACACAGTCAAGTCAAAATCTCAGGACTCACAGATCTTCAGAATAAGATGACTCTTGCCCTGTCTGTTACAGGAATGCTCTCTCTCCACTTTGGCAGAGAAGCCTGCTCGAAGTTGTGTTTCCACACACCTTTACTCAGCAGCAGACCTGCACAAACAGACCCCTATCCTTTTTCTCCTCTTAGTGCCTTTATTCCCACCCCCAAGCTGTTTGGCTGTTCATGTGGAACTGGATGGGAAAACTCACCTAATTAATAATTATAACCACCTCTATCCAGATCCTAGCTAGAACAGCTTCTGATCTAGGCACAACAGTAGATGTAAGTGTGAGCTCAAGCAGAGGACAGTGCAGGAGTGGAAATAATAAGCATTGCTTGTTCTAGTAGACTCCATCTTTGCTTTAAATTAGCTTTTAAAGTTATCAGCACTGCTGTGTACAGTGGTATTACCTGCACAGCTGCATCCTGATCATGAATATGTTCAAGGTTTTGAGATGAAACAGCCTCTGTTTCTTGATTTGTTTGGTTGCTTTTATCTTCATCTGAGTAATGAAAAACAATAGATGCATCTGGCTTAAAAATGCAAGTTTAACCCTCAGAATCACAGCAATAACTGAGGAGTGTGTCAGACTACTTCTATAGAAAGGTTTCTTTATTTTTAACAATCACAGTTAAAATAGACCCTCCTACAGTTACTTGGCTAGAACTTCATTAGACTGTTTGATCTCAATGCAAAAATCAGAGAACTGGTTATAAAAGAAGAATGGAACAAGACACAGTTTGAAAGCAATTCCTAACTCGTGTATTATATGTAATAAATTCTTACCCTATCTTTTACCCTAAAATGAGTCATTAGTGTACTGAGTGGTATCTTAAACCCTGAGCCTGCTGCTAACTTGTTTTCTGATGATCAGAAGCAAGGGCTTTTGATTCTCAGATTAGTTCTCCTAACAGAACTGAAATTCAGAATAAATCCTAGTCAAGCCAGAACCTTTACTTACTGAGACAAGAAACAGGGATTTTAATTCCCTTCACAGTTGCTAAACCTCATTAGCTCTCTAAACTCTGTTTTACTTCTTATAAAAGGTGGTCGCTCTTCCATCAATCTTTGTCAGTTTGTCCTCTCACTTTGACCCAAGACTCTGCATGATGGACCATCCTACCATCCGCAATAACATTACAGTAACATTCTAGTCTAGCTCATTCCAACCTAAGTAATAATATTTTTGTGGGCAAACAGAAAACCAAGGTTATAGGATACAATTACTTGTAGCCATCAAATCAATATTTAAACATTGTCTGCCATGATACACACATGTACGATGCAATACATATATTTTTTTATATACAGACATGTGCACACACAGCATATATATACAGTATCTCTGGTCAAGTGCTTAAGTCAATTAAAGCAAGCTTCCCAGTTTGTTTTAATATGTAAAAATAAAGCCTGAAAATAAGCTTTCACTAATAAACTCTTGAGGTGTAGGTACCACTTCTGCAGAAAACTCATCAGGCCAGGACATGGTTGGATTTGAAAGCTCCAGTAACACAAGGAAGTTCAAGTTTCTGAGCTCCAGGAGGAAGAAAAACAAATTCAAAAAACCCAGCACAACAAAATTCTTCACTTTTCTCTCTGAACTCTACCTTGGGAAACCCATTTAAGCTACGTACACCCACATAACAGATTTCTAAAAATATGAAGAAATGCTTATCTGAAAATCTGTTTCTTTGTTAGTAGAAAAGAATGCAGATGCAACATGCAGGGCAAGAAGAAACACAAGGGTTAGAAACCATGGTTTCTCCAGGGGTATCACAGATGTGAGACTTCACAGAAATGATCAAATGTCATCTTGATTAACCCAGCTACATTTCTCATTATAAACAGCCTTGCAGGTGTCAGAAGTTAATTAATACAAGCCTCTTGTCATGTAAATATTGATATGTTGTTTCTGACTTTATAGGAAAATTAAATCCCTTAATGGCTCCACCATCCACTACTGTCAAACGTAGCTGCATCACTGTTTACACATAGGCTGTACACAAGTGACTGGGAAGAACATAAATATTGTTGCACTAAATGAAGTAAGGAACATGAACAAAGAGAAAATTAAAATAATTCAGTGATTGCTGGGTTGTTAGCAGAGTTAACAGTCAGCAGGATCAAGAAGCCAGTTCACCATAAGCCTGATGAAAAGCCCTTGAATCATTCCCACTGCACCATAATGTTTTCTAGCTACTAATTCATGACACCATATAGAGTAACATCCAAATTACTGTAATTACCCTGAAACGTAAGTGGCATATCAATATTGTGTTAATGTCGGATTTTTGTATACTCTTTCACTATTATTCAGTATTACATTTTGAAAGGAAAAATAATATCAACCTGTGGTCTCTACTTACTAGCTAAAGAGCTTGAAAAAATATCCTTAGTATGGTTTTGTTTTTTCATGTGGGAACATAAAATTACTCTACAAAGGAATGCAGCTTGCATTTTAAATTCTCAGCCTTTGAATTCATTAAAAGAAAGTCCACATCCTCTACTGATGTAAAGCTTTTCATCTAAACTGTTTGAAAAATATAGACTTCTTGTTCATAGTCATGTCAAATGTGTAACAAAAAGAATAGCTGTTTATAGAATACCTATCGTATAAAGCATGTATTTTCAATAAACCATAACAAACTTCTGTAACTTGTGACAAGCTAATGCTTATTGAACTGGTATTACAAATTAGAGTAATAATAGTATATGTTTGATTTTTTTGTTTCCTCTTTCCTTTTTCCTTTCTCTGAAATGCAACTACCACAGCCTTTAGTTTAATCTCTCTCTTTTTGGCCATACTGGGCAGGTATAAACAACGAGTGACAATGTTTCAGGACAACCAACACTTCTTAAAATGTTATAATTGTTTGTTTACATTTTAAAATGTAGAAAGCAACAACAATAATTTTAATTATTATTAAGTGATAACAGAAATAATATTCCTCAGCAGTGTATAGCCATGAGCTAACTCTAATTTTACTATTAAATTTCTAGTGGATCTCTTTGAAGAATAGTATCAGAGTCAGGTTCTCAGCTTACAATAGTCAAGTACCTTCTCAGGTGTCTGTCCTTGAGATCATCAATGATTTGTGCTCAAGCTATCTGGAAAAGCCTACAAATAATTATCTTTTTCCTCGGAGCTGCTCTTGTCATTCCAAATAGAGGGATACCACTGCTTTTAAAAACTTACTTGAAGGAAATGCACAGGACTGCAAACCAGTATCAGCCCTCAAAAAGAACAGATTTTAAACAGAGAGGAAAGAAGAGAGATAAACACGTGAGACTGCTAACCATGTTGCTTAACAAATTTCTGAAAAGCACTCACATACTAGGTTGACAAGAGTCACGTAAGAACCTGACTAGAACAGTTGATTATGCTAAGTTTTCACATTTACAACAAGTCTCAGATTTTCTAAATGTTAAAAAATATGTAACAGCTGTATTGTTAAAAACCTATAACCACATACTCACTAAAAGGCTCAGCAGCACAGAATTTGCCACACAATATGAGCCTACAGCCTGCAGTCCTTGCACAAGGAGAGCACACCCAAGTGTCTAAGGGTTTTACCAGAACCAGGTAGCATCACAGAATGGCTGAGGTTGGAAGGGGCCACTGGAGGCCATCCTGGCCAAGCCCTCTGCTCCAGCAGGGACACCCAGAGCAGACTGCCCAGGACTACGTCCCAGCCAGTTTTCAGGAGAGGCTACCGTGAGTGATCCTTCTTCCTCCCTCAGTCTCAGTTATGTTTCTACATACGTCTGAAATAACACTCCTGAAGCTCCAGGAGGAGATAGCTGGGTTCCTTCATCTCTTATTTGCAAGATGCTTCTTTGCAGGGGAGGGGAAGTCCACAGGAGCAGCTATAAAATCTTTTTTAGTTCCCTTTTCTCTTCCATGCCTGTCAGCTCCCAGATACCAGCTGGTGACTGCTCTGTAGCTCCCTAGTTGCCTTTTTCTGCCTGCTGCTTTGTGTTCAGACAAGCAGACATGTAACAACCTAACAGTGTTTCTTTTAATTCTATTACTGGTAATTAGTAGATAGCAAAATGTTGCCCTTCTGCACAAAAAGCCCTTTGACACTGAAAAATAAAGATGACAACTGTAAATCATTTACATGACACTTCTGTTCTACAAACAGATGACATATTCACATTACTGTTTTTTATCATTTGCAGTAAGGTGGCTTGTAGATGTGCTGTTGTATTGTGCTCAATATAAAAACAGAATAAAGAGACAGTCCCTGATCTCCCAAAATCTTGTAACCCAGAAGGCTGCAAACAATAAGAAAAGGGAGCAGAAATTGGACTACAAGGAAACAAGAAGACACAAGTAATTGGGACAACATAACAGCCACAGTTAACCAGCTGTTTAACCAGTTACTGACAGACAGCAGAACCAGATTTCAAAGTTAAGTCCTCAATTCATAGCACAACTATAGCTAACTGATAGAAAATATACCTGATGCTTTAGCTTTCCAAAACTTGAAACCTAGGTTTATCCCATACCTGGTACAGATCAGGTCCCCACAAACAACAGCTTTTGACTCAGAGACCAGCACTATCAAAATTTCTCTCCTGAACTAGAAAGCACCAGGCAAACTTCTCCAAGACAGATACATTCATTTCAGTTTTCTTGCTAGTAAACCTATATTTTCTTCCAACCTTTTACAAAGCCTATTCAGAAAGGACAAATAATTGCACCTTGAGTCTATCTAGCACTTTAGAATACAGATACCTTCTTCAATCCTTGGCTTCTGTGGCATATTGAGAATATCTTCAGGATGTGGTTTACAAAGACCATGGAAAGGCCTTAAGTCAAAGCACTCTTGAAACAAGGAAACATTTACTTGAGAACATAAGCTCATGAATCCCACTGCAATGTCTCCATTCTGAAACATAAAAGCAATGTCACACATATATAAAAGATGAGCATGTGATTTTAGGTCAAGACAAAAAAATTGAACAAAAAATTGCTTAAACATAAAATGACAGGACAAGGGGAAATGGGAGCAAGCTGAAGCATAGGAGGTTCAATCTGAACCTGAGGAAAAACTTTTTTACTGTAAGGGTTACAGAGCACTGGACCAGGCTGCCCAGAGAGGTTGTGGAGTCTCCTTCTCTGGAGACGTTCAAAACCCGCCTGGACGTGTTCCTGTGTGACCTAGTCTAGGTGATCCTGCTCTGGCAGGGGGGTTGACCTGGATGATCTTCAGAGCTCCCTTCCAACTCCTATCATTCTGTGATTCTGTGAAAAGTCACAGTGTTCCACCTCTGGCTGTGCATAACAGGAAAGTATAAAGGAACTATTTCAGCAAAAGTTAAATTTTTTTTTCCTGTAATGTGTGTATTAATTTCTGTAAATAAAATTGTGCTCAAACTGAATATTGTATTATATTTTCCTGTGAAAATCACTAATTCAAGAAAGCAATTATATAATAATAAACAGTATCTAATACAGTATATGGTATTATTTGCAGTAATTATAAGTGCTATATATTTTCAAGTTCTAAAAAAAAAAAATAAAAATCTAAGACTAATCTTTAAAAAAAAATATAAAAATGCCCTAGTGAGTATGAAGACGACAAGAACCCAACAATGCTAAAATGGCACGCTACTCTGTGTGTTTGACTAGTACTGAAAGTTTCCAGAAAGTTGCAGTCTTCAGAAAGAAATACACTCTGAAAAATGAGAATTGGTGGAGGTTTTTTGGCTTTAAGCTAAGATGACTCTAGAAGAAGAAAGCTCTTCAATTTTCAGTACTATATGCAACTTTCTGGTGAAACACACATAACAAAAAAATATTTCTTTCTTTAATACACATAATGGAAGCCTCCTTTATAAACATAATGAAAACTCAATGCTGGATTTGTATAGCTGTTTTATCAGACCATCAGCACTCCAATAAAAATAATAAAAGATAAAGTTTAATTTTTTTCCCCTCAAACAACAAGTGATTGTTTGTTTGCCTTGTTTGCGTAACTGAACAAAAGCTGGGTTGCTGCATTTGTCTGGCTGCTATGTAATTTTAGGCCCAAGGCTCAGCAGAGGCTGATTAACCAATCCATCTACCATATGTGCAAAAAGAGGTTGCCAGCTTCATTCTCTGCAGGGAAAATTGGCATCTATCTTGGTTCGTGTGGAGGTGTCTTTCCAATCTGCGGCAGCCGTAGCAAGTATAAACTATGAGGGCCTGAAACACCTTTCGCTGGTGTAATATTGAGCTATAAATGTACAATTGAAATGTATTATTTATAAAGATAGCCGTTTGTAATGTGCTATTACACTAATGGTTTATTGTTTCCCATTTGGCTTCCAATGGTAGTGATTACATGTTAAGGTTTTATAAAATCATTTGCTATAGAAAGCAGACTTCTGGAATTAAGTAGGTTATGCTGCCTATCAGCTTACAATACCACACACAATTACTAACACATGAAGATATTAACAGGAATTTTCAGCAGGCTAACTATTACCACTTCTTTCTTATTTAAATTAATTCCTGGGTTTCTGTCTTCAGTTCAGCAAAAACGTGCCTGCCTGAGCCAGTAGATGGGAAAAGTGTACAGCATTTCTAACTGTGAAAGTACTATTGGCTACTAGTTTTCACATGCAATATTAATTTTCACTGGGAATGAAAACTGGTCATCTATAATGCAAATGCCTAAATTGGCAACATAGTTTCTTCAGAAATTGGTGTGTTCCAATTACTTGAAAAAGGTCTACACAGCTACTGGGAATTGCTGCTTCATTTACTTAACCGGAGACATCACTCCTGAAGAAAAAACACAAAGAACCTGGCAGAGGACATTGTGTGTGTGCATGTCACAAATTCTACCTTCCAAAAGGGAGCTTGCTCTTTTTGTTCACTGAGCTGCAATGCAAGCACTCACCCTCACGCAACATCACTAATGTTACGATTGGACAAAACCAGAGCTCATGGCAGACTGACCTCACAAACAGCTACCTGGTTTTCTTCATCTAGACATCCTATGAGATCAGCAAGGAAATATTCACTATAGGCTTCTTTCAGAGTCTCACTCTGACGTGTCCAGATCTGCATGAGATCATCATAATCTTCCAACCTACAAAAAAAAGATTACGTCATGTCCTGAAGCTCTGCCATTAATTTGTCCCGATACTTCTGTTCTACTCTGTTAGCATATGGACAAATATTACAAATACCTGACCCAAAGCCTCCATCCACAAATAAACACACTAAGCTGGGAGTCTCAGCACCAAAGGAGAGACAGAACTACTTTCAAAAGCACAACTCACCTAAGATCTGGACTGCCCAATGGAGATGATTATCTCTTCCTAACAAAATACAAGGGCAGCCCAGTTCAAAATTCTCTTGCCTAAGGCATCTCAGGCTAGGTGGACCTGGGCTTTAGGCCTCATTTAAAGTAATTATATTCAGTGACCCCAATCATCAGTTGGCTAGAGTTGGCAGAGATCTCAAAAAACAACACCAATTAGAAAATTGCAGTTTAGAAAACCATTTTTTAAAAAGAAAAAAAAAAGAAAGAAAGAAAAAAGATTAAAATACTGCCTTTCTCTACGGGAGAAACAGTGCTGAGCACTGGCTAGATTACTGTTATTATCCCACAGCAGCGTGGGGGTCACCTGGCAGAAATCAAGCCATTATGCCTTTGTAAGGTCAAGTTAATGCTCCGCCATAGAAAAAGATACAAAGGCCAAAGTCCAATTATTCTATCCCTCTGCTTGTGACAGGCTTTCTGCATAGGTGGGAACTGTCGCACCAAGGCTTTAACTGCCTCCACTACTCCTGTCTGTTCTCCGTGCTGCTGGCACAAAAGCGGCCGGAGGCAATTTCCCATAAGTCCAAGTTTCAGTGTTAGACTCATATAGGCCCCATACTGCACAGATTTTTATTCAAATAGGCAAACTCTTTC